CAAGAAGACACAGCTTTCATGAAGCAGGGCTGGGAAATTGGGAACTATACCAGAGATCACAAAAGCTGAGGAAGCGCCTGCCCAGCACTCCTGGGTCCCAGATTCTGTACTGATGCCAACTGTTCTGGCTGGTTTTCTGTATCCGCTTGACACAGCTAGATTCATCCAAGAGGAAGGAACCTCAGTTGAGGAAATGCTTCCATGACATCCAACTGTAAGGCAGTTTCTCAATTAGTGAACGATGGTGGCGGGCTCTATAAGAAAGCAGACTGAGCAAGCCAGGGAATCAAACCAGTAAGCAGCATCCCTCCCTCACCTCTGCAGCTGATTCTGCCTCCAGGTTCCTGCCCTGACTTCCTTTGGTGATGAACAGAGATGTGGAAGTATAAGCTAAATAAACCCCTTCCTCCCCAAGTTGCTTTCTGGTTGTGGTGTTTCACTGCAGCAGTAGAAATCCTAATAGTAGACTGACTAAATGTAGAGCTCTTTTGGAGGGGGTGAAGAACTATTCAGAACAGAAGGCTCCACAGTCACCTCCAGGTGCTCTGTTCCCAAGGAGGCCTATGAGCTCTGTTGGTGTCCATGCGGTCTATGTGTCATTCTAGTAGACTGCTGCTTCCTTTTCAGCATGTTGCCTGGGGATCCAGCTCCAGCTCTGCCTCTTTTTTCTGCTTCCAGAACACTTTGTGCCAGCTCCCAGGCTAGCAGATACCAGGATGTGGCCAAACAATTTGAGGAGCAGCCTGGGACTCCAAGCCTCAGAGGAAAGAAGATATCTCCTAGTAGGGATGGGTTCCCAGCATACAGGGGGACACCTAATACAGAGCAATAGCCAATAGGTTTTGATTGAAGGATTACATGACTCCATCAACCCTCCATATGGCCTGAGGCAGAACTGGCCCCCTCTGAGTCCATTTCTAGTTGTCCAAAGGCATACTAATGATGACACTGGAGACCTGTGCAGGTCTTAAGAAATGCATGTGACCAAGAGCTGGGGCCCTGAACTGTGCTCTGAAAATGTCAGGGAGTCACATGTTCTTGGAGGCAATGCAGGGCAGTGTCCCTCACTGGAGTCCCTGGGGTCTGCTGCTACCTAGACTGGCACTATGTATTTCTGCTCCTAGTTGTTGCCGTCGGGGTAGAGCGCAGAGCTCAGCACACAGGTGGGTCTTCATGAAGACTGTCTGAATACAGAAAGCTGGAAATACCCACTTCACAATGCAATGCAGCCCTGATCTGTATTCACTGCAGGCCCAGAGAGACAGCACAGACCAATCACCGCCACATCTCAGAGGACACAGAGAGCTCTACGGAGAAAAGAATCGGTGGAAGGAGGAGGTAATGGGTGGCACAGTGGTGAGACATTCCAATCAGGGTGGCAAACAGCTTAGCCCATTAGTCACCACCTCTGGGTATCTATGGAAATGCCTAGAAGATGGTCTTCAGATTAGACATCCAGACAGCACATTGGTTTCTACAAGAGGCTCAGATGGGCCCATCCCTCCTCCTCCGCCTCCTCCTCTTCCCTCCACAAAGGGCCAGATGAGTGTGTATGTGCAAACATAGAAAGACAGAAACAGACAGACACACACACAGAGACAGACAGAGGGGGAAGGAAGGAGAGGGAGGGAGGCAGAGAGAGAGAGAGAGAGAGAGAGAGAGAGAGAGAGAGAGAGAATGCTCTAAGACACTCATGGGCTGAGACAGAAAGCATCTTAGGAATACCAGCCTCATCCTGGATTCAGTGCCCTGTTGTGTGTCTGGCCCAACCTGTGGCCTGGCTTTCCCTGAGTCTTGCCTTGCTGCAGATGGAGCACTGCAGCCCAGGTCCACAGCCAGCACACACCAGGATGTGGGTGAATAGTTAGTGATATCTGCATTCCATTTTTCTTTCTCTATAGCTAAAACAGGAACAGCAAGTCAGTGGCCCCATGCTCAGAGCTAGTCAGGTGGTCTCTCACCCCTGGGATGACAGCACTCTTCCCATACAGAGGAGGTGATGCCTTGGCATTACAGATGAGGAAACTGAGGCACAGAGAACATGACCAATAGCCCAATCCATATGTAACTCCCTAATGGGAAATAGCAGAGTCAGGATGAAAGCCCACGTCTCCTGATTCTGTGGTGACACCATGCCTGCCCGTGCCTGCCACTGCTGTCATCAGCATAGACAGACCTTGATGGCTTGGCTTTGCTCTCTGCCAAGCCCTTCTAAAGCACCAGTAACTTCTGGAAATCCACAACAAACCTGTAGCCCTCCAAAACAGAAAAGACTCTGGGTAAAAAACTGGGACACATAACTTTTATCATGGTAAAAAGAAAAAATAACCATTCTGAGAGATCTCCATGTTCAGCAACAGAACAAGTATTAAATTATCTTCTCTCCATTTGATGAATAGCTTGGCCTTTAACAATATGTGTAAGGCTTGTTTATAATGTGGGAACTGTTTATGTTTTTGTCAAGCTTGAAAAAGGATAAGAAGGTACAACGGTGGCATAGTCATTTATATAAACAAAATTAAAACCAGGGAATCACAAAATGACTTGGAAATGTACTAAACTGAAATAGAGGTTGTTTAGGGATAACAGAGGATTCATTTCTCTTTACCTAAATATCTTGAATTTTCTTTTGCTTTTTAGTCTGAGAAGTAAATGACTTTCACAAAGTAAAGCCATCAAAAGGTCAAGATTTGGGGAAGAGGAGACTGTGTTCATTTGGACCTGCCCCCTCCCAGCAGCTCAGAGCCAGGTGAGACAGTCCAGAACCTTGCCAAGCCCCATACAGTTCCTCCCTACAAAAAGAGATACAGGAGTCCAAGGTAACTGGAGCTCACCACACAGTCTTTCCCCATTGTCAAACAGCAAGGATGCACACATGGAAACCAGTTCCTCCAAAACAAAAGGCCACGGGAACCTTTTCTAAGGACTCTCATTGCTCAGGTCTGAAACAGCCCGAGTGGTCTGACCCTGTCCCTAGCAAACCATGTGGGATCTTGAGGGAGCTGTGACCTCAGTTCATCCTGTAAGAGGATGCTTGGAGTCTATGTCATGAGAGCTGGGAACACCCCAGCATGATGGTTATAGGTCTGAGCTAGTTGGTTCTACACATGAGATGCTCTGTACAGATGACAGATACAGCAGGAGATGAATGGGTTAAAACTGGGAGGAAGGCCCTTCCTGACCATATGTCACTGGCAGCCTGGGAGCAAAAATAGGGCATGGTATGACCAGCTGTGAGGAAGGCAGACAACAGTGGCCCACTCTCTTATTCTACCACACAGCCTGGCTCCCAGTGGTCTAAGCCCACTTGGGCTTTCCAAGATTGAAGGTACATCACCTGCCAATGGCTTACCCCTCCAAGACCAGGAGCATCCACCCCTCTATGATTCTGTCTGACCACTCCCCTCACAAATGACCCCTGCAGGTCTCAGCTGAGACACCTTCAGGCCTTACTGTAACTTCTGAAAACCATGTACTGTTCTGGATGAATGTCAGTTCTCATGGATCTGTCACATCTGTGGGCATGGGACACATGCTCACAGTGGCCAAGGCAGACCTTCTCAACTTCCAGCCTGTGACAGATGGAAGCACAGAGCAGAAGGGATTCGACCATCTCCCAAGAACCCTCCTTGGGTCCTGCCAGGGATGATCACAATTCATTGCAGGCAATGAAGCAAGTAAAACTCCTTCCCTTGAGAGTCCCTCTAGGGTAACATGATGTATTTCAATTTCATTGGTTAACTTATGGAATCTAGCTGAAGCCTTAGGATGATGACAGAAACTGATCATGACATGGACTGCTGTGGTTATGAAACCTACTATTCAACCTCTATTTCCAGCACACCTTACACAGGAAGCATGGTTACTACAATATACCATTCAAGCCAACTGAGCTGCCCAGCAACTCAATGAAGGAAAGCTATATGCTCCTGTAAACTAGTGAACAGGCTATGAGGGGCACAGTGACATTCTCCAGCATCACAATGAGATGACAGCCACCTAATGAAACAGTGTTTGCGTTTCCAGTGTATTGCCTTTCAGACAATAGTTTTAACAATGACACTTTGACCTTCCTGCCCATTATGGAGAAAGTGTCACATACAAACGGCTAACCTTTCCCCTCAACCATGCAAAAGCCCAATGCAGCACCCTCAATCTCTCCAGGGACCAGCACTGAAAGATGGTTGCTCTTGGGCCAACTCTGAATCATTAGTCGTGGGGACACAAGGCTCCCTAACTATGACATGTGACCCCCCACACACATTTGGAAGGCCTTCTTCTGACCCCTTGTTCACACTTCCACTGACCTCTGAGGACATTAATTGCCTGGACAGTCTCCCATAGCATCTCTGGGAGGTGGTTGGTCCTACAGAGATGTTAGGAAGGGCCTAAGATGGGGCAAGACAATTCACTGAGTAGAGAGCAAGAAGAAAGAGTTAACACATGACTGTTTATATAGCCAATCCCAATAGACAATCTGAACAGATTGCTTCCAGATAGCAACACAACCCTTCCCACAGCCAACAGGCTCAGGTATCCATCGCAAGCAACCTTTGCGTCCTATTAAGAAAGGCATGAAAATGGACAGCGTCCAGGTTTGTAAAGAAACACAAAGCCATATCAGCTGGGCTGTTAAGTGATGATGGCCTATCTTGGGGCGAGCATCATGGTGAGATAAGGCATTCAGCAAATACACTGTTCACACTCCAGCACAAGAAGCTGTAAAGTTCAGTCCAGGAACATGGTGGAAGGGCAAGCAGGAAGCCAGGCCCTCATTTCCTTCTTCCACCGCACATAGCCAAGTGCTACAAACATTTCCAAACTCAATGGCCACTTGGGAAGAGGATATGGTAAGAACCTACATGGGTAATGAGCTCCCTGCCTGCAGAAGCAAGCACACAGTGAGGTGAACTCCTTTCTCTGTAATTTCCCAAGGCGGCCATTATGGTGCCCTCCTGCCCACCCACCTACCCAAAAGCCACAGGTGGCATGGTACTCACCCCACTGCAGAGGTGCCAGCTGCAGGTGTTCCAGGACGAGCTGGTTCAGGAGGCCTTCCACACTCGCCTCACCGCTGCGCTTCAGAGATGGGTAAGCCTCAGTCAAGGGAAACTTGGCTACTACTGCTGAGCCTTAGGTGTGGAGGAGGGAGAGAAAATTTCTAGACAGATACACCCCTAGATGAGAACAGGCTTGTGTAGATAGGTCACCCCTTTGCTCAAGTGGTAGCCCACTAGACGGTGAAGGCATCAACCTGAGAATGGGGAAACCAGGACACAGAAGCCCAGCAGGTGTCCCTTTTTTCATCTCTAAGTCCATTCAAGTGGCTGTTCTAGAAGGAAGGAAGAGCTCCTTGGATGAACTTATGCCAACAATGGTTCTTGCTGGGGAAAATAAGGCAAAATTTGAGGTTATTTTTCCTTACTAAGACATGCAGACTAAGGTTGAGTGTTCAGGACGAGTGTGCATTTTTCAACATTGTGCTGGGTTCATGCTGGTTTCGTATTTGCTGTGTTATACATCTCGATGTAATTACATATATTATTGTGAGCAGGCTCTCTCAAGTGAGTTCATAATCGAGGAAGTCATAAAGTCTCTCAGCAAGCATCGGTGGATGTGGATGAAGAGATCTCGGCTTAGAAATGCAGACAGTAGGTAAATATGGAGAGCTGAGCTGCCCTGGGGCCCCAATGCAGCTCACAGCAGGCCTGCCAGCCTCTTACCTCTCCTCTCCCACAAAACCAAAATCACTGTACACAGCAAAAAGCACTTGCTGATAGCTGGAAACAGAGGGATAGCCCACTTCCTATTTCCTTTAGGCAGGTCCATTCTGTTTAACAAACACACCCCTTGTCCCAAGTGAGACAGGCAGGCCGTGGTGGCAGGGAGGCACTGGGGAAAGAGGTGCCAGGAAAGGATTTGACATTGAGCCCACCTGGTGAAGATGAAAATTTAGAAAACCTGCTGCTCATGTATGCCACGCCTGAGGACAGCGGTGTAGGGACATCTTGTAAGCAGGGAATCAAAGGGGCCGCGGGGGGTGTGAGTGAAAGGGGCAGAGCCAATAAGGGAAGAAGGCTCATGTTCCTAAGTCTCAGCCCACCAGGCACTTAGGGAAAGCTACACAGACAGGTTTCTCGAAAAGTGTGGCTGGTCACAGCAAGGCATTGCTCAGCATTGGCTGAGATGGTGCCAAACCGGCCCCCATGATGCCTAGGGAGTCTTGCCTACACCTAAGCCTGACCAGTCTTGAGATTTCTTGAGCTCCCAGGTACCACAGACACTGACTCTTCCTATATGGGTCCCTCTCCTTCCTTCCTCATTTGGTCCATCCTTTGCCTTATCTTTGATCCCATTTCCTCTAGGAAATGTTCCCAAGCCATCCCTGTTCAGAAGGTTCTCCTGTGTCCTCTTTCAACACAAATTATATATGGTGGCTTCATCACCACTTGTGAGTCCCCCAGGAGGCCCCACGACCATGCCAGGCTCCAACACCTGTTCCATCAACAGTGTCTGACAGTGAATGAAAGCCTGGGGCCCAGCTCCCCAGGTAAGCACCACGGGGCAATGCTTCAATCTGGGCAAAGCCCAGACCCCTCTTCTGAGATCAGTCGGGCTTTGAGTCTTTAAATTCTTATGAACCTTGGACAACCGATAAAAAAAATAAAAATAAAAATAAAAATAAACACCCTGAGGTGGCCTCATCATCTGTAGCATGATGACGAGAACACTTCCTGATTCACAGGGTCCCAAGGAGGACAGGGATGCACTAGGAAATGTTCCTGCTGTCAGTAGGGTCCTGTTTCCCTCCCTCTGGGGAGTCCCTTCCCTGCCTCGCTTCAGTGAGGGAGCCAGTGCTTTGTGTCTCTCCCTCCTTAGGGATGCCCCTCTTCCAGCACCACCTAGTGAAGGTTAATTCCATACACAATTCTTTCTTAAGAAGAGCCCCTCCACATGCTGTCTCTCCATCTCATTACCATCCCCAGCGCAGGTTTGCTCAAGTGCTGTTGTTGGTGGTAGAGCACTCTGCAATGCGCTTCTAATCCTCTTGCTTGGTCCTGGGAAGGAGGATTTGCATAGTTCAACAAGGAGAGATGGGGAGGGCCATTAGGGATACTGAAGTAAGACCCAAGTCTTGGGGGGTCACAGGTTCGCAAGAGAGAGAGAGGTGGTCTTGCAAACAGAAAGCACTGACCTCCAGCAATCCCAGTACTAGCCACATGTTGACCTCACTGAGCCAAAGCCAAGATGTAAACAAGATGTATGCCACCGGCAGGGTGGCTTACAGTGCCAAAAGATGGAAATGTCCCCAGTGTGCACTCTCAGATGACTGAATAAAAAGAACGCATCCCGTCCACACTATCAAATGCCTCTCGGCCTTCAAAGAAAGGAAGCCTGACATACTACATGCCTGACCCTCAAAGACAATCGAAGACAAGGCAGGCACAAAAAGGACAAACAGGGTACCTCGTGGAGGACAGACATGTGAGCACAGGTGTATACATAGCACAGACGGAAGCAAAGCCAGGCTGCAGGAGATAGGGTTAAGGGAGAGGGAGCTGAGGTTCTTGGTCTAGTTCCAGTTCGAGAATGTGAGAAGCTCCCGAGATGCTTGTGGGGGAGGTTGCAGAGCTGAGCTGTAGGCTTCACCGTGGTTAAGATGGTAAATGAAAGATAAATAAGAACATGCTGACGGAAGGAAGGGACTCTGCAATTAAGGAAAGGATCTGGGGAAGATGAGGGGCTGAAGCCAGGTGCAGAGACTGGGAACTTGCCCAGCGGAAGGGACATCTGAGCCAAGTCTCTGGAAGGAAGAACTGGAGGGAGATTAAGAGAGGGAGGGGCCCAGGAGCAGAGAGGCAGGAGCCCAAAAAGCTACAGAAGAGAGAACTTCCCACTAGACAGCAGAAACTGATGCTCCTCTTCTGGGTGGGGGAGGGGTTCATAGAGCATTTGGGAAGCTGTGATGCTGGTCACTGCTGGCTCCAAGGACACCAAGGTCACTGTGCATACAACTCAATGGCTCTGAGGGGGCATTGCTCTTCCTGGGAGTGGTCCATTAATTTTTCCCTCGCCACCACAAACTATCCCAACCAACAGCTTAGCTAAGGGTGACATCATTGTACGGCCTCCAGCAGTCACCCATGTGGTTTTTCTCAGCCACAGAATGTGACTGTAGGAGCCAGAAGCATCCCTGTGACCACTTATTTCCAAATCAGGCACAGTGGTAAACCCCTGACTGTAATCTCAGCACTTGGGAATCTGGGGCAGGAGGATCAAGAATTCTTCTAGGCCTACCTGGGCTATAGAGTGAGGCCCTGTCTCAAAAAAGCGAAACCAACCAAAAAAAAAAGTAAACAAAGTGTAAAATAAATGAAGAGTTCCCCCTTTTCTTACCTCTTGACCAAATCCCTGCTGCTGCTTGTGCTAGATTCACTCTAAACAAAGATAAAAATTAATGGTATGTGCATGGAGCTGGCAGAAAGAGCACAGTTACAGGTTTTTGGTTTGGGCTTTGTGGTTTGTGGTACGGAGTCCAGGAGGAAGAAGGACTGGCAGCCTCTGCATTGGGGCCCAGTGAGCATCCATGCGGACTGGCGTTGGTGGCAGCTATAATAAGGGTGTTACCCATTCCTTCTAATCGGGTGAATGAGGTGCTTATACTTGAAGCACCAGAGCCCAGGGAGTTCGGCAATTCGGTTCTAGGCTGCTTAGTGATGGCACAGTACCCACAGTGAGCTCCATCCTGCTCCATCACCTGAGCTGTTGCCATACAACGTCTGCAGAAAGGGAGATAATTAGCTTGTGAGCACAGGTGTGTGCACTGGCCAATACCCACGATGAAAGGTGTGCTTTCTGCCCCAGGCAAAGCACAGGTAAGTGTCTCGTGTTCTCACTAGAAATGGGGTGATAGAAAGTTGTAGCTGGAGTGAAGTTTCCCAAGATGTGTGTGTGTGTGTGTGCGTGTGCGTGTGTGCATGTGCGTGAAAGTTTACATAGGGGAGCAGATTAAAGAGGCCTGTGTGGAAGGAGGGGCAGGGACAAGGCAAGCGGGTAAACCAATTACTTTCTAGAAGTCTCTAACCATGTGCGAGTAGACTATATTAAGAATGAAAACTGGTGTGTGGACAAAGCTTGGTCCCACAGTGCCCAGTCTGAAAGGCGGGAGCCTTGAGTACAAATCTCCCACACATTTGGGTTAAAAAAATAACACTCATAAAAAAAAAAAAAAAACAAAAAAAACACTCATTTTTGTGTTTGTTGCTTTCTGCTTTCCTTCACCATTCAGCCCAAGATTTATATTCACTTACATAAGATTCAAAGTTCATAAGGTGGGTTACTACTCGTTTATCAAACACTTGCAGCGGGGTCTCAAGGTGGGCGGCAGCAGAGGAGAGGAGAGGAGCAAGGGAGGTCACGGGAACCTGCAAGGTTGCCAGGTGGCACTGGGCTCTGAGAGCCATTCTACCCGTTTCTGAATTCATTAGCCTTCAGATGTGACCCAAGAAGGGTACAGTTGGGCTACTAAAGCTGACTCCCTGTGTGCACAGCCTTTCCCTTGCAGCCCTAAAAGGCACAAAAGCTGTCTGGTACCTGAGCCTCAACCCATGAGTGGCCAAGCTGTTCAGCCAAGGTCCATGCCTATGACATAACACTGCAGTGCAGATGGTAAAAGCTAATTCTTAATATGCACATCTTGGCACGAGGGGTGAGAGATAAATAAATCATGATGGCAACAGAAATCACTATCGCTTTCTTGTAGAGGAATTTTCAAAACGCCTCCTGTAGGAGGGGCGTTCTGGTAAGGATCTGCCATACACACATACTCTCTAACACTGTGTTCAAAGTCAGACTTCAGAATGTGCTAGCTTTGAACAGGGACTGTTATTTCCATTTCAATGCTTTTAATACGTGTGTATTGTATATGCTGATCATTCGGTCAGATTTACCCTCACTGGTATTTTGTTTTGTGCTCTTTTTTTTTTTTTTTTTTTTTTTTTTTTTTAAGAAATGGCCCTACTCTGCAGCCTAATCTAACTCTGGAGCCCAGGCTGCCCTTAAAGTCATGGTGATCCTCCTGCTTCAGCCTTCCAAGGGCTGAGATTTCAGTGGGAGTCTCTATGTACTGCGTCAATCACCACCCCTGCAAGGTCCCCAGGCCTGTGGAGGAAACAAGAAAGGCCTTGGCACAAGTAGGGTGATTCCATGGCTTTCAGTCTGCGCACTGCTTCACGCACCCCTCATCAGACAGTGTGACCTCTTCACTGTACACCTGGAACCCAGGGATCAAAGCTTCCGCTAGACTGGGAGGACACTGCTGCCCACGGGCTGGGTATAATCAGGGCCTGTGCCTGCGAACAGCTGAGAGCATCGTGACCTGTCCCAGCCTCCAGGCCACGGTGCCGCCCAGCAGAGAGCTCTCCGTGGTGCTGAAGCGTGCGTGACTTGCTGTCACAGGCAATCCCCATGCTGGGAGTGGCTTTCCTGTAAACCTTTCAGACAAGGAGTGAGTTTCATGAGCCAGGTGGCCCACACTTCGAGGCCATTCGGATTCCAGTCAACACCTCCCAAAGGGCTCCCTGGGAGCTGGGCGCCCCACCACTCAGACCAATTTGCTTGCAATGAGGTTCACAGTCTTCTATTTCTCAAGATCCTTCTATGGCCATTCATCCTTCTTGGTCCAAAAAGCCTAATTCCCTGTAACCCATCACAACATATAAGTCTCTCATGACTTGTTTTTTTCCTCCTCCCACTCAACACTCATGACTTCCCGTGTATGTGCATATGTGTGTGCTCATGTGTGCCAAACAATTTGCTGCTCATTCTTCCACTTCATCCATCTGGTAGCATCCACCCATCTTCTAGAGGGAATAAGAAATGAAGTAAGGAAAGAGTCTGTAGAAATACAAATATCAATCAACTAATTAAATAATAAATAATAATGAATGAGTAATGTTACTGGTTGACAATAACCTTGGCTCCTTAAAACTAGGAAGATGCCACTTGGTCTTTTCATGCCCAGCTCAAGTGACAAGTGTGAACCAGTCACTCAGGCGACAAGTATAAACAAGTCTTTTAGGTGACAGGTGTGAACCAGTCAGAGAAGTGAGCACACTCCAGTGCAAATTCACCACAGTGTGACAGGTTCAAGGAGGATTTTATATTGGGCAAGATGGTTATAGTTACTATGTTGGGACAGCCAGAGGAGGAAGGGTTGGTTTTCTGGGGTGTGGTAGACCCAAGAAGTTGTCCCAGATCCCATGCCTCTGGAAGAATGGGTGAGGTGCTCACCAGAAAGTGCTTCAGGCAGAGGTGAGCGAGAGCTAGGTCAGGAAGCAACAACTGATTTGGCACACATGAATGGGTACTGTCCTCCCCTTGTCTCCAGCCACCATGACTCAGCAGATGGGCTCCATCTCATGTCATGTACCAGCTCTGGGGTAAAGGGGCACAGGTGCAAGGGTGCAGCCAAGCCCTGCTAGAGCTCAAGAAAACTAGCAAGTTATCATGGGTAGAAATTAAACAGTGAAGAAACTCCTGTAAGTGATTAGCAAGCCTCTTGCCTGACTTTCTCATTTACAGCACTAACCTTTTAAAATTCAAGTCCATTTTCCTCATCTAGGTAAGTGCACTGGCATCTCCTCAAAGCTGCTCATGCCAGAGACTGGATTGGACATAGCACACCCACAGTGGACATGCTGTCCAGGGAAAGGTCCAAAGAGGTCTGCAACTGGTTCATTACAGCAAGTCCTCTTTGGTTAGGGATATTCTAGAGCTCCATGAAGAGAGGATGGAGGGCAGGTAGGTTCTCATGATCAGTTTGTTCAAGGAATGTGACTATCTCCACAGTTCCTCTGGGTAGTATAGTTAGTGAGAAGGTTATAGCCAAAAGGGAGGCCTGGACCTGACGCCTAGAAGGTAGTCCTCATGTCAGCCCAAATCCCAACTGGCCATGCACTAGCTGGGTGACCTCTGAGTAGGTGAAATAACCTCATGGACCTTGTTTTTCTCAGCAGTGGCCCAAGGCAGAAAACATCATTGGAAAGCTATTGCAGACATCTCTAGGACTTCTGGCTAAGGTAAAAATACAGTATTTGTTCTTATCACTTTAGTATCTGACATGTCCTCTATCTGAGAACTGAGTGGATTTTTAGAGTTACACATTAATTTGGTATCACAGCACTCCCAAGAATGGCACAGCCCTTTGTGTGTCTGTGGAACCTAAATAAATTAAGCAATCTATGTAAATAAATTTGACCAAAGACTGTACATGTTTAACACACACCCAGTCACACAAACACAGTGCCCACACAGAGGCTTTTCATGATCCCATGGAATGTCTTTTCATACACTCTCTAGTTGGTCAAGCACAAAATCTACATTGTCCATGTGTTGACCCCAATTCTCTTTTGAGCAAGTCTAAGGTACATGCAGATACCATGTTAGGACTGGTAGGGGCCAGCAATCCAACCTGTATCCGTGCCACCTCATTCAGCTTCCCATCACAGGTCAAAAACAGCAGGAGAGCCCCAACTAAATATCCAGCCAGGCTTCTCTCCAGCTGCCAAGCCTCCGTGCTCTGCTGTGCAAGATGAAAGACCCCTGAACCGAGTTATCACAAACAGCTCTCAGGGCTGAACTCCCTGGAGGCAGATACCAAATGATTCCCTGCATTTCACTTATGATGATCAAGGAATCAACTGCACCGATGACAGGAGCTGTTTGTATTAGAATTCATTTAGATAAAGCTATTTCTCCAAGCATGACTGACTATTAGAAAAAAAAAAATGTAGTGTACTGGGTCTTAAAAGAGTCTTGTTTAAAGAGGTTTAGGTTTTTCTTTTCTTTTTTTTTTTTCTTCAGGAGATGAGAAGAGTTCCACTGAGAAGCATCCTGGAGAACTCAATTAGAAAGACTGAAGAAGAGCCTGAGCTGCTCAGTGGAGCAGCTTCTTCCCCAACCTCAGTACCCTATGGAAAGAAGCAGCCCAAGAGGGTAGGATAAAGCCCAGTACCGATTTAGGTGGGTTGTTCTGCCTGAGATCAATCAAGCTGGGGCTCTGTGCCTAAAATCCTTGCAGGGCTGCGAAACCCCCATGGAAAGCTGGTGACCCTGCCAGCTTGCATAGGGTGTCTACTGTCTGCCAGACCAGCAGGGATACTCCCAGTGGCATGCGGGTGAGGCACCAGCTGCCCTCAATCACCATCCTCAGAAGAGTATTCCCTAAGAGGCAAGAGCCCACACCTGAGAAAAGTTCCCTGATAGGAGACTTTCAGCAAACACAAAGCAGTGGGGACGAGGGATGGCGGCATTTGTGCTCCAGGTTTGTCCCCTGCCTGCTTCAGACATAGATGGTCTCTGCAGACTGGCTCTGAAAAAGGCTGGTTTCAGTTCAGACTAACCTTGCTGCCTATAAATCACTTTGTCTGGCCATCATGGCATCTGGAGTAGGGCAGTGAAGGGGCAACTTTTCTGCTGGCTGCATCACTGAAGCAAAAGCTCTGCCACAGAGTTTCACAGTTTTTCTGCCTATGTGCTGGATATCACAATCTGTACTGGGGTCCGGGTCTGACACTGCCCCTCACATCGTCCCTAGTACTTAGCACAATCTCTGTCATATGCAAAGCATGATGGTTAAATCCAAAGCATGACCACACTGATAGCCACAGAGACTACACATAAGGATGGTGAGAAGACATGCACATTAGTGCTTTCTTTTCCTGGCAGACACTGAATAAGCCACACTCTCCTGCTGTGCTGCTTTGGGGCATTCCTCACCGCTGGCCCTCTGATAAACTTCCACCCAATGCTGACAGTCTCCTCAAGTGTCTAGCATACTGTGTGGTTGCTCTGCAGGGACTACTGAGGAAACTCACACACGGATGCACTCAGTGTCCTTCCACCCATTCAGCTGAACTCTGATCACATGCCCATGTAGGCACAGGCATTTTATCCAACTTCCCCCTTTCACAGCACAGTCCACAAAAAGAGTCAGTCCTTCACTCCTTCCACAGGGTATCTCTACATTTTGCTAGGCTGTACAACTCCATTTTGGCGCCCAGATAACTGCATCCACATTCCCCACTATCAGTCAGAGGACGGCTCAAGCCCTGCACTGATAGGCAGACCTATCACTAGTGTGAACATCAACCCTCAAAAGAAACATGAGATCCAAAGTCAGGAACACCACTGGCCCCAACAAGACCTTTACCCGCTCGGAATCAATACTTCATTAAGTAGGACCTCCGAAGTGTGAAGAGGCTAGGAAAATGCCAGCCTGATGGTCCATATCCTGCCATGGCATTTGGAGCTGTCTGTAGTTGAAGTTCAGGACTTATTAAGCCCCTCTTAGCTCCCGGTGGGTGATCAGAAGCCCTGGTCTGGATCAGAGTGTGCCCTGGGCCTAGGGGGAGGACACTGAAAAAGGATAGGATTCTCCAGCGGATGTCCAGCTTGCTGCTGATCTCCATGCCTCGTGCTTCTTGCCTCTCTTCTTCCAACTGCTTCAGATTTGCAAACTGTCCCTTCTCTCCAGGGGATTCTGGGACACTTTCAAAGTTGAACTTGTCCACTTGAATAGCCATTCTGAGAGGAGAGAGAAAACAGTGGAGAATTAATCAGTAGGGCAATTTCTTCCTGGAGCTGTTGGACAGTCAGCACGTGCCAGCGTGAGGCAGCCTGATGAACCATTATCGCTAGTAATTCCTAACAGATTCATTCCCAGAAAATGAAATAATGACTCCCAAGGTGGCCCTGACTGCAGAGCTGGCTCAACACACAGTTCCAAAAGAGCTACAGCCATAGATTTAGACCTCTGAGAAGTCTTGCATCACCCCAGGTGAAGGTTTCCATTCCACAATGGGGTGTGGCATATAGGACCCAACAAGCTATTTATACAGTACTCTGGATCGTGACTGTAGCTCCTTTCTGGACATCTATAGAGCATGCTGGACCTGGGGGACCTGCACTCTAAACTCTGCCTGCCATGACTCTATAGTGCAGAAAAATGGGCTTAGGAGCCAACTCCCATATCCTGCTCACAGTTGCTACAGCCCCCATCTTCCCACTGTAGCTTCCCAGCCACAGACATGGGCTGCCCCCTTCAGCTCTCTGATCAAAGCCACCTGCCCTCAACACAATACTCTCCTTGCTTGCTGGGCCCTTTGACCTCCTAAGCATTTCTGGGGTGCAGAAGGCTCTCTGCCTTAGTTTTTAGCTCTGGAATGTACTAAGCCGTGGCACGGCTGAGCCCTTCTCACTCCTGAATCAGGAGCTGGAAAGTCCCTCCCCAGCTCATCGCAGCCATTCTCTGCTCTCTCCTGCAGTGTTCAGTTTATTTCTGGCAGGGCATTTATCACAAGCGTAAAGATTTAGCTCTGAGTTAGTTAATTGTCTCTCAGTTCTACTAGACTTTAGCTTCATAGGGGAAGAGATGCACTTGGTCTTGGTGGCCAAGCTCCCCAGCTATAGCAGGATACAACAGGGACTCAGTAAATAATCAGCTAGAAGGATGAAAGAGGGGATTAGAAGTCTCCCCTTACACAGTCAGTCTCTCTTCCTGGCTGTGACCTGACGCTGACCTGTCACCTGTCCCTACCATGGGACAGGACTTGATTATCTGATGTCTAAAACTTCACCTCTTCGTCTGTCTAGGCATACAACAGGCACTCAGTACAGGATGCTAGAAGAGGGGCTTCTATTCATGAGGACTATTCATAAGCCCCAGCTACAAAGCACCTAGGACTCAGAATGAATCAGCTAATGGGTAAAAGTGGATGGTGATATTATTGCTAGACTCTGAGTGGCCAAATTTGTCAGCAAAACCATGATCACTTGTGTGTCTTTTCTAGCTTACACCCAATGGTGTAGTCTCAAGACCTATGCTGACCCCCGAAAGGGCTGCTGAAGACTCAATGAGTCATGGCATTTGGCTCAGTGCTTGACCTGGAAGCCTGGTGGCCCAGGGGCCAGAGGCACCACTGAATAAGCAGTCCACACAGGTAGCAAGAACACCTCCTAAAGTTAAATATACTTCTGTGTTTTATTTCCTAACTACTTAAGTAAGCAATTTAATATAAATTTTGGAAACAGAAAAATCACAAAAAAACGGAAACTAAAAACTAAGAATGTAAGATCCTAAAACTTATACTTTAGCTCCATAATCTCTTCCAAAAGTATTTATACTTTAATGTGATTGAAACTTTTTTCTACACATCTTCGGAAGTCAGAGAACTCTCTCCACACACAGCACATGCACAGGACTATAAGTCATTATTGAATTCTCTGAACAGACAATTCTGTGGCCATATTCACACCATTAAAGATTAGTCCACATAGCCTGGTATGTTTCAGGTCTGAAGTCTCAGCTCTCAAAAGCCTAAGGCACCGTGACTGTGACTGCAAAGCTAGCCTGGGCTACAGAGTAGGTTCAAGGACAGTCCAGGCTATGTAGTCTTTAAAAAAAAAAAAAAAAAAGTGTTGAGTGGGGGTGGAAAGAGTGATGGTGGTGGTAGGGCTCACTGGGTAAAAACATCTAAAAAGGAATTTAAACGCGTTTGCTACATATATATGATGCCCTGAGTTTGAGTCCTTCAGCCCATCGTGGAAGGAAAGAACTGAATCCCAAAAGTGGTCCTCATCCCCACAGAGATTTGAGGTGTGCACATGAACCCATGTACACATCATACAAACACCAAACAAAACAACAGACAAATATGCATATCTTATTGGCACAGCATTTGCCTAGCATGCACAAAGTCTTAGTTTTGGTCCCTAGCATCATTTCTTTTAAGTTTGCAAAATATGGTAAAAGGTAATACTCCTATTTTAAAAACTCACAGGTATTTCCCATTTTTAGAGAAAAGTACTATTGTAAAGGTGTCCTGCCATCTCTCTCTCTCTCTCTCTCTCTCTCTCTCTCTCTCTGTTATTGTCTCCTCTGCACTAAATAACCCAGATAACTCTGAGAAGTGTTCAGCTTAAACCAACTCCTCACACCCGGAAGGCCCAGCTTTCTCTGAGAAGTCCCCTGCCTGTCTGTTGGCCTCCAGCCTTCAGGGGGGTCCCTGCAGGCCCCCTGTAACTAACACAGAGTTCCAGAATGCTACCTTAGACACTGGTAAGCACTTGTCTGAAATTTGCATACATCTACTCTGTATTAAAGGGAAAACATATTCCATGTCTCCCATGGTCTGATGCTACTCTCACAAAGCCCCCTGGGAAGTGAGAGGACAGGAAGTGGGAATATCTCTGCAAAGAGAAGCACAAGCCCCTCCCTCATATTCCTGCAAGTCTGAGTACAAAGGAAGCAGATTTCCCTTTGGGACAGGGCCACTGGCTTGCAGACAATAGGGTACCACGTGAACAAAGGCAAAGCAACATGGTCACGACCTTGCTCCCCATAGTCTTTGTGGTACAGCAAAGAAAGAAAGAGACAGGGACAGACAGTTCAAGCATATGAAGGGATGCCTCAGATCTGGGGTTGCTTCTCATGGGTGGAGAGCTGTATGGAGGGGAAGAGGGACCTGGATTCACATAGACTCCAGCTCATTTCACATGGAAGCTGGGTCACCAGAGACAGCCGAGTTCACATCCCACACCCAGGATCTGGGAGCACTCGGCTTACATGGTATAATTGGTGCTCGAAAATACTATAGCTGTTATTTTGTAGGGTAATAATAATGTTTTGAAGTGGACTGTGATGATGGCTACACAGCTCTCTGAAGGCATTTGGATGCTATGCACTTCAAGTAGGCTGTGTCAACAGAGCTTTTAAAAAAGATTATGGCTATTATAGGAACTTGTCTAAAGATCAAAATGGGGCACCTAAAGATGTTGTATGGCATAAAATGATGTACAAATGCTAGTGGGCCTGTGTTTCACTGCCCCTCACTGTCCTGCGGCTATAGGCCGCCATTGTTCCACTGAAGTTCACGTCAGGGGTCTTTCCCACCGCACTCCCCCTTCTCCCAGGCAATGCTGTTTTCTTTAACTTGGTAGTAGCAGAACCCAGCACAAAGCTGGTACTGGAAAAAGACAGCTCAAGGGGCAGCTGGCCACACAGTCACAACTACTGTTGACTCCAGACCTACCATGATGGGTGCTGTCCCCCACCAGCACCAGACACCCTCTCTACGTTCCCCAAATCTGCTGTTTCTCCACAGAGGTTTGTAGCTTCTCCAGCCTGCTTGAGTATTCTGCAGACATCGTTACGGAGATTAAACTGTCTACAGGACTCTTGGCAGGTTTCCTGCTATTCCCAGGAAGTCTGAAAATGTCTGGGTCTACTTGAAATTCACTATGCCTTTGGACAGGTCACTGGTCCCCGAGCTTTGTCCTGGTCTACACCAGCCTCCTGCAGAGACATTTCACCTACGTGAGGCCAGGCCAGGGCACATGCAGCTCAGCAGAGGTGTCCCTCCAGCTTCCATATCACTACAGGAAGCTGGTTGTTTGGAAGGCTCTCTGCATTCTACAGCTCAGGGGGCCTGGGGACTTCTTAGCTTCTCACTGAGCCTGGACAGAGTTCAGGCTGTTGGAAAAACATCTCCCAAGGAAGGCCAGAGAACCACCATGTACATGGAGGGATCCAGATAAGTTCCTGCCTCTTCCCTCCATTCCAGGAGACACTCAGAAACCATCTAGATCTGTTTCCATGACAAAAAGGCAGCCTTCCTTTGAACCCCGTGCTGAGGCAAGGAAGGAAGGAAGGAAGGAAGGAAGGAAGGAAGGAAGGAAGGAAGGAAGGAAGGAAGGAAGGAAGGAAGGAAGGAGCTGAATCCATTTAGCTTACACCAGGCAGGGCCAGGACAAACACAACACACCATCCTCTCATTCTAGATCCAGGAGGCTGACGATCCAGAGTAAAAAGACTTGGAGCCCTTCTGGTAGCTCATTCCCTAGGATGGTGCTGAACAGGAAAGGCAGGCATGCTCCATGGAAGGTTCTGAGCTCTAGCTTTAAGAAGAACCTGTGTTTCCCTCATCATGCTAATCAGAAGCCGAAGAATGCAGCTGGTGGGATGGCTCAGCAGGCAAAAGCATTTGCCACCAAGTCTGATCACCTGAGTTCAGTCTTTGGGACCACGTGGTAGAAGGACAGGACCAACTCCTGCAAGCTGTCCCAAAACTCCACATGTATGCATGTCTTAGTATGTGTGTGTCCACATAAACAAATGTACGCAAGTACTTGTCTACATGCAAAATCTAGATGAATGCATATATGCCTACAACATAAATAACTAAATGTAAAAATGAAGCCAAAGGACCAAGATCTCAAATGTTTTTCTGATTTTTGTTTTTTTCCCCCTAGAACAGGTATAGATGCTAAACACACCACACCATATCCTTGGGTCCTGCCATGTACCAACCCCACAGGTAAATGAAACAGAACAAAGGACGGATGCACCAGAAGGGCTCCCACTGCCCGCCCTCCATGGAAATGACAAGCTCCTTAGTGGGGAAGTCCCCTGTGAGTGGAGATGAACCTACTAAGCTTTCCAAGCTGCATCAGTGCTCTTGTACAGAAATCTTTTGGTGCTAAGATAGATGCAAATTCTCCTGCATGCTTCTACTTAAGCACAGCTC